AATTCAAGGAGATATGAGGGTGAATTCAAGGCCCCAAGGCTGGATGGTCCCAGGCATGTCTGAGGAAGAACAGGGGAAGTGAGGAAGGGAAGAAGTAGAATGAGATGAGGAAAAAAGTAAGTGCAGGGCAGGCAGGCATAGGCACCTGTAGGTAAGGTCTTTGCTTCTTTACCTCTGTAAACCTACAAGTGAGGGAGAAAATCATTGAAGAGTTTTGAGCAGAGGAATGAGAAGGTCTGACACAGTGTAGCAGGATCCCTCTGGATGCTGAGCTGAGAACAAACTGGAGCAGGGTAAGGGTGGAGGCTGGAGGAGAAGGAAGGCTCCCAGACCTCCAGGGAGGCAGGGAGGTGGCTTGGACCTGGGTGGTACCAGGGGAGGTGGGGAGAAGTGGTCAGATTCTGGATTATGTAGAAAGCAGAGCCAACATAGTTTGCTAATGGATTAGTTGTAGGGCATGGGGAAAAGAGGAGTCGACAATGACTACAAAGTTTGTAACTTGAGCGACTAGAAGAAAGGAGTTGCCATTCCTGAGAGTAAGGGTGTGGGGGTGGCAAATTCTCTTCAGGCCGACTGGAAGCCACTGGTAAGCAGCAAAGCTTACATGGAGAAAAAATCAAATTCAGATTGTCCGATGCAAAAATCAGGGCTATTTCCCTCCTGTCCCGTTATGTCCATTACAATATGTTGTAGAGGGCAGAGTAGGCAGTTCTATCTGGAGCATTATAGACAGACTTCAAGAAAGGTGTGGTATCTGAGTAAGAGACAGAGCAGGGAGACCACAGGGCCATTTTGACATGAACGATAGCAAGAACAAACGTCAGGGGACCTGAAGGTGTTTGCTGTGTATTCTGGTGTGTCCTCAACTGTACATAAGGTACATACACGGTATACTGTGGGAGAGAAACCTAAAAAGATATACCACATAATGGAAAATACTGAATGCCATGCTTGAGAGCTAAAATTTAATCATCTGGGCAGTGAGAAGCTATTGAAAGCAATCAGTAAGAAGAGAGATGGCTTGAATTATGTTTTAAGAAGATAACTTTAGAATCAGTAAAAAAATGATGATTTGGGGAAGCAAGAGATTAGAATCCAGGAAACCGATGAAATAATCCAAACCTTCATTATAATAATGCAGTAAAAACAGAAAAGGTATAATTTAGGAAATATTTGGTAGTGACATTGACAGTACTTTGGATCAATTAGATGAGAGTGAGGTTGGGGGACATGCCAAAGGGATCCAGCTTATCTAGTTTTAAGGTCGATGTAATTAACAAAGATGAGGAATGCAGGGAAAGAAGCAAGTTTAGCTGGGAAAATAAAGTGGAAGGATAAACTGGTTGTAGGTACCACTGAGTTTGAGGAGCCTGAATTCATAACCACATGTAGATTTTTTCAATAGCCTTCAGTAATCAGTAGCGACATTAGCGCTAGAAATCTAAATTTGGGAGTCATGAGCATAAACGGGGTGTCAGAAGATTTAGATTTAAATGAGATGGCCCAGGAGAAAGTGTTGTCTAACAGAAAGATCAGGGATGGAACCTTGAGACACCCTTGCCTTTGAGGGGCAGATAGGAGCCGAGGAGCCAGGAGAATCTCGAGAGGACAGGAGGACCAGGGGGTAAGGGGAGGGGTCAGCAGTGTTGGGCTCAGGATAAAGTTAATTAACATAAGAGAAAAGAAACCAAACCAGCATTTGGTCATAGGAAGCCCCTGGTTTTAACCTTCAAGAGAGCAGTTTTCCTAGAGCACTTGGAGAAGAAAGCAGAATTTCACGGAAGAAGTAACAACTTAGAAATACAGCCTCATCTCATAAGAAGTCTGGACATCCAAGAAATCAGAAATGACTCTAGCATGCCAAGAAATGTGTTTCCTTGTTGCTGTTTCTTTGTTCATTTTCTTTGGTTTTAATCTTTGTTCTTATTAAGACATGAGGAAACAAGATGTTTATAAACAGAAGTAAAGAATAAGCCGGGGGGGGGGGGGGGGAAGAGTGCAAAAACAAAAGAGAAAAGGGAAATGTGATGGGGCTGGGGGATAGAGGACATCTGGAAAAGTCACCACGGAGAGCGGGGGCATGAGCACTCCAGGCAGCAAGTCAGGTTTCAGAGAGAAGGGGGAGCAGAAGAAGAGGAGGAAAAGCACCCTGGGAGAACAGCAGAGGTGAGGAAGACTGGAGCTGGGTCCACTCAGTGTTTACGCTTAAAAGAAAGACTCGTTAAGCTCCGATGCTTTGGGGGATGTCCCTGGTGGATGGTGAGGCATTGGGGTAACACGGGTAGGCACTGAATGGAACAGTCACAAAATCACTTTTTATCTAGATCCATCGGTATAGATCAAGAACAAGAAGCAGCTGAGATTCCTTCCCGGGGTGAGGCTCCTGGCGAAACAGGAACTGCACATCTGCTTTGACTCCCTTCAAACTCAGCATGATTTAAAATGAAAAGCTTATATGGTATTTACTCGAAGGGCTAAAGTCAGATGGAAAATTTTTCAATTATAAAATTCCAGCCAAGCCAGAAGAAATCAAAGCCCCAAGAAGAATCATAAAGGCCAGTTCAGGCCCACAATAAAACTGGGATAAAATGGGGATGTGGTTCCTCGTTTAATTTGTATGTCCATGCTTCTGCAACAAATAATTTGAGAAGGAAAAAGTAGGTCTTTCCTTAAACGAAAGTACAAGAGGCGCTCCTTTTAAGCCAGTCAAGACCAGGTCAACGTGCCCATAAAACCAGATTTGCTTTATTTCAGGGTTGAATGTGTTATGAGCTAAACACAGAGGGGTGGGTGTATGGGTTCATTGCCACGAGTAACATCTCCAGGAAAACACCCATTCTCCCGCTAGAGAGGTACACTGGTCTTCAGAAATTTGTGCACTCACTGTGTGTGGGGTTTTGTTTGGTTTTGTTTCTTGAAGTATAGTTGATACATAATATTACCTTAGTTTCAAGTGTACAACATAGTGATTCGGCAAGTCTACACATTATGCTGTGCTCCCCACAAGCATAGCTGCCATCCGTGAGCATACAACATTATTCCGGTACCACTGACTACTCCCTGTGTTGGAGCTTTTGTCCCCATGACTTACTCATTCCACAACTGGAAGCCTATACCTGCCACTCCCCTTTACTCATTTTGCCCATCCCCCACCGCTCCCCCTGACAACCATCAGTTTGTTGTTCTCTGTTTCTGCTTTCTGTTTGTCCGTTTGGTTTGGCTCTTAGATTCTATGTGTTCAGTAAATAAGCTATAACTAACTTTGTGCATTAGAAATCCCATTTTGCCTCCTGGAACAAAGTCTGTGGTGTTTTTCTTGGGGAGCCCTAGTTTTCACTGCTTTCCGTTCTGTTATATGCTAAAGTGATTGAGGGGCGGGTTTGTCTGGGATTGTTCTCGCAATGCCAGAGTATGGTTTTATTTAAGACCTACTTGCCTCTGACCTGTTTTACTGATACCTAACACTTTATCTTCTAACCACAAGGAAGGAATTGTTCTTCATGTAACTTTCTCAACTCACCATCCCTGGATCTAACATTGCCCTCTTTGGAATCTCCATGGCACTTGGCTGTTATAACTCTTAAGGCATTTCTTGCCCAAGGCTTTGCATAGTAGTTATTTGTACCCTTGGGATGGGCCCGTTAGGGCCCTCCCACAAGATCTGGGCACAGAGGTGGGGAGCCCTTAGTCACCTTGGCATTCCCTGAAGCACCTGGCCCCTGTTGTAATCAATCAGTACCGATGCGATGAAAACAGGAAAGAAAGCAGGGTCACGGTAGACAGTGTGAGTTCACCAACAAGTAGGGCTTGCAGGCCACTGGATGTGTCCTCTACTCGGAAACTGGGGTCATCTCATCCCTGAAATGACATCTCAGGGACATACAAGCAGTGTGCTAATAATTTTACACTTACTGCCCATCATACCCCAAGAACTGTTCTGCCTGCTTTTCCAAATACAAAATAAAAGGTCCTGTACAAAACAGGTCTAGAATGCTGGTCTATGTGGCCCAAATGTGTACGGTAATGAGATCCTGTAAAACCCTGCTTCATCTGGTGCCAAGACATCTGACCAGCTTGCACCATTATTAAAGGGCCTCTCGCCATCCTCAGTCACAATTCAGAGACTTAAATTTCACAACTAGAACTACAGCCAGGGGAAGGCATTCTTTCCCGTAAGGCAACCAATTGCTGTTCTGCCTGGGAGAGTCTACGATGGCACGGGAGGCTGTTGTGTGTTGAGCTTCTTTTTTTTTTTTTAATGGGCATTTATAATAGTTTTCTTTTAAAGCGTATATCCCAGCAATGAAAAGAGTATCTTCTGAAGTATATTCTATCCACCACCCGGGGGAGAGTGGACTCATCCAGAGATCGTGGAAATAAAGGAAAGGTGTTCTCTGCCACATCTGTAACTCAGTTTGGACAACTGAACCATAGAGGATTAGACCAAAGCCCTGCCAGCAGATCAAGGAAATTAATAATAATTAGAATAATTTATCCAGTGCCTGCTCTTGGCTAGATGTTGTGTTAGGTGCCTTATAAACACTACTGTTAATCTTCACTATATCCCTGCAAGGTGAGCATTTTCCTCTCAAACCAAAAGATGAAGAAACAAAGACTTAATGAGGTTCAGTCACTTGCTCCAAATTTTCACCTCTACCAAATGCCCTCGCTGGGATTGGAAGACAAATCTCACCTACCCTTTACATTTCATCAAATTTCCTTTATGAGACACAGATTCTAAAACAGGAAGCGTCATCTTGAGAAAATAGGATCTTCATTCATTAAAACAAAGTCTAGAAAATGTAAGCATACACGAATACCTGACATTGGGTGATCATTAACTATGCAGGTAGCAGAGAAGCCCTGAAATGCTCTCCGGCTATATAACACAGTGAGCAGCAACTGGAATTCTGAGTCAGGGTGAGCTCACATCACAATGCCACCCTTTATTAGCTGTGCAATGTAAGCAGATCAGTGAAGTCTATTCCTCAACTCACATCATCCTAAGAACTAAATGACGTAATCCATATAAAGCAGCAGCAGCTTGGTTTTTGGAGCAAAGTCAGTTCTTAATTATTTTATTATTCTCTATCCACCTGCCAAACTAGTGCTTCTTCTTTTATCCCCAGGAAAATCATGTTCTCTGACCTGGTGAACAAAGCCCTTCAGGATGAGGTCTCTGGCCTTCAGCAGCCACATTTATTAACTCTTCCAATGTACCTAAAACTACCTGAAAAACCTCCTATCTTTCTCCACCCCAACCTCCCAAATCCACCTAACTCCTTGGCCAAAGGAACTCAAATTTCACTTCCTTCCGGGGGTGACCCTGCTTAGGCATCTGCAGTAGTACCATTGACGGCCTCCTGTGGATACGTTTGTCAAGGTTATCCTTCAGCCGAGAAATGGTTCGGACACTCGTATGAGTATTGTCTCATTCCCCATAAGAAGTCACCCTACACTCTCACCTCACCACTACGCCATGGTATAATCCTCTCCAGGTCAACTTAACGTTAGTTGCCTCAAGCGGTAATACCAGGACAGCCTGTTTGAGGCTGCCGCTCCTGCAGGCCACCTTCCCTGCCCCAACCACCAGACCCTGGTGCAAAAGGTACTTTTCTAAGTAAATTCGTGCAATAGCTAACTGGCCCCAAAATGGTTCTTCAGAGACTATCTGGGGGAAATTCTGTTGTTGCTTTTTTTAATAGTCAAAAGTGCTGACTCTCAGAAGGCAGGGTTCTTTCTTTTGAGACTTCTCAGCTGTGGGAAGATATAGAGGGTCCAGTGTGAGAGAGACGTATAATAAAGACGGAATAAAAGTGAGAAGTCAGGCAGGGTGGCCACACAAGAAAGCCAACAGTTGCACTGAATGTTAAAAAGTGAATGGTAGCTCAAGAAAATAACTTGCAGAGAGATTTCACTCAGTTCCAAACCACTTTGCTATCTTAGATATGGATGGTTTAGGGAAGAGGTAAGCTGAGATCATGGTCTTTGTGACAATGACATCAAGGCTGGTGTCATTGTGGCATTCACCACCTCAGAATGAGCCACACACACTCCCTGGTGTCCCATGTGAAAAGCAAGATAGACTCAACTATCTTGATACTGGTCAACCTGCACTGTAACTTCTATCCCACAAAGTCCCCAGCTTAGTGCAATATTGAGGATGGAAATTTTACCTTATTCATTCTTTTGTTACTTCTCAGCATCCAGCACAGGGTCCCTGGAACAGATTAGGTGTTTAATAAGTAGGAGTTGAGTTGATCTGGACCATTGCTGAGTCACTTCGGGAATCCTACAGCAGCTTGAGGCCACCTCCAAAATACCAAACAGGTATTATCAGATTTAGATTAACGCAAACCACTGCTTCTTAACATTGCACCTTATGGTGCCAGAAGGCATCAGTTCCTTACAAACACTCTAATTTTTATACATTCTCACACTTGAGTATTGCTGGATTTTGCTGATTCTAAATGGGATTAGCCCAGAGAAGTTTAATTTAGCAATTCCAAAACCACTTCTAAGCCCATAGCCTTACAATGGTAGCAGTAATAAGCATATTATAGCCTCTTCTCTGAGAATAAGAGAGCATTCTTAATTAGGTCACTGTGTCAACAGCACTGAAACACTTTAATGGGTATTAATAACTATACATTTGCAAAGGAAGATCAAAGAAAAAGAGAGTATCCAGGTTACATGGGCAGACTGATCAAATCACAAATTAATTTATTTCACAGGATCCCCAACAGCAGATGTCCCTAAATATGGTGATGAAGAGATATCCACAAAAGCAACCACATAAGGATGTTCAAGCTGTTCACAAGCCATCCGTCCATGGAATCATCTGTCTGTAAATCACGCTGCTCAGAGAAATAGGATCATCATTCCAGACAGTAGTTATGCTTGCCAGAGCACATTCAGGAGTTGGTCACATGAACACTCTGGCTGGAAGCCATGGCTAGGGCCTAAATTAGCTCTGATACTGGAAAGGGAACTTAGCCCATGCCTGGATATTGGGCAAACAAAGGCAAAAACACCTGCTTACCCATGAGAATGAAGCAAGCAGCTGTAGTTAATAAGCCCTATACATTATAGGTGTATATAAAATGATCACATTGACCAAAAAGATTCATCACTTCTTTTGTTTGTTTCTTTTTGGCTTTGTATGCTCTGAAAGAATATTTGTCTAAGTCTGACCTCCCAGGTAGAGTACCCACGCCCACTAAAGCTCAGACATTCTTCTTTACAGCACTTAATAGAACTTTTTGTTTGCAGTGAACTTGACAATTAGAATGTGAGCCCCATGAGGGCAAGGACCGGGTCCATCTTGTTCACCATCATGTTCCTAGGATCCAAATGCCTGCCCAGAGTCAGACTCTTGATAGAAATTTGTCAAAGGGAAAAAAAGAGAAAGCAATGTGTTGAAGGAGTATGTACATGTATGAACATTCAAAAACCACTTATTGATTAGATGGCACGCATGGGGAGCTGTGCTAAGTGCAGATTAGGCAGATGAATGGAATCAGAAGCCATCAGAGCCATGCCTGCTCAATCAATTAATAGCAATATTTACCAGTTTGATTAAAGAACTGGAAAACACTAAGACCAACACAAGAGCTAATTCTGGATGCCTCGCCCCCCACCCCACCCGTACCCCAAGCCACATTCCATACCACAGTTACGGTCCTTGTGTGATGTTGCCATGCCAAGGAGCTTCCGAGGAGTTGCCTTCAGGCTAAGGAATGAGCACCAGCTCAATAAAATAGATTCTTTACTACCACCAGGTATTGGCTTGTTAGCTGCACCTCTGGAAGATTCATCACAGCCCCAAAGCCAAGAGCACATAGTAACTGGGGAAGTTCAGTTGGCTGTCTGGGCCTAAACTTCACTCATGTGTATAAAGGACATCTCCACAGAGACTGTCTGGTTGGGAAAAACTAGCTCTTTCCTATAACAGTGTGTTTGGGGAGCTGCCCCATCACCTATGGTGTTGTTAAAAACATTCAGATCTCCAGAATCAGACTCTTTGAGGAGAATCTTTATTTTTCACAATGCTCTGATTTTTAAACACACTCAATTTAAGTATCATGGTCTCTAATGATTTTGTATGGGACTAGCCTAGAGAAGTTTCTCTAGCAATAAGGGGCTGTGTTACGGAGGGTCTGCTCATCCCTTGTTTCTGTTTCTTTGGCCTAAGAAACATGACGGCAGAAGCCTGAAAAAAAAAAAAAAAGAAGTTGGGGAGTGGGGGTGAAAGAAAAAAGGAGGGTATCTTCACCCAGCAATTACACAGTAAAAAGAAGCACAGGTCTATAGAAGAAAACAGGTAGGTCATATTATTAAAATACATAGAGCACATTGGCGCGCCTGGGTGGCTCAGTTGTTAAGCGTCTGCCTTCGGCTCAGGTCATGATTGGGATCGAACCCCGCTTTGGGCTCCCTGCTCTGCAGGGAAGCCTGCTTCTCCCTCTCCCACTCCCCCTGCTTGTGTTCCCTCTCTCTCTGTGTCTCTCTCTGTCAAATAAATAAATAGAATCTTAAAAAAAAAAATACATAGAGCACATCATGAATTCAGCTTCTGGTAGTCCCCCAGCACTTTTGGGTTTTAATCTTGTACTATTTGCCATAATTAATTATTAGTAATTTAATTATTGATAGATGATCTTACCTCTTATAGTAGCCAACAAATAAAAACCTTTTTTAAGGATTTTTTTAGGATTTTATTTATTTATTTGAGAGAGAGAAAGAGAGAGTGAGAACACAAGCAGGGTGAGGGACAGAGGGAGAAGTAGACTCTCTGCTGAGCAGGGAGCCCAATGCAGGGCTCGATCCTGCGACTCCAGGATCATGACCTGAGCCTAAGGCTTAACCGACTGAGCCACCTGGGTGCCCCCCCAAATAAAAACTTTTTTAAAACATCCAGCTCTAATTAAGGCATGGAGAATTGGGTCCTTGCATAGTCTTTTAGGGAGAATCAAAATTGGAGTAGCCTTTTCAGAGAAGAATTTGCTAGTAATTACCAAATAAAAAATTCACTTTCTGGGCACCTGGGTTGGCTCAGTTGGTTAAGCGACTGCCTTCAGCTCAGGTCATGATCCTGGAGTCCCGGGATCGAGTCCCACATCGGGCTCCCTGCTCAGCGGGGAGTCTGCTTCTCCCTCTGACCCTCCCCCCTCTCATGTTCTCTCTCTCTCTAGTAAATAAATAAAAAAAAAATTCACTTTCCTTTTGACTCAGTAATTTCACTACTTAGCATTAACTCTGCAGACATACTACACCTGCCAATATAGGCCAGTAGTATGGGTACTGCTAAAATACTCTCCACTAAGAAACTCTGTTGCGCTCATCTGACTTACTTGCTTTTAGTTCTTTATAAATTTAGTGTACTAATCATGTAATATAATACTAATAATGTAATACATGTAGTGTAATATAATAATTACTAACAATGTAATATAATATCACTAGCATGGAGGAGGCAATTAACACTTAATAAGTCCCTACTGTGCCAAGCATTTTGCTGGGGCTTTAGCCTAACCTCTTCAACCAGGCTGCCACTTGGATATGATTTTCCCCAATTTTTTCAGAAAACTAAGACTCAAAGAGGGAATGCAACTGGTGCAGGGTCATGGCTGATAAATGCAGAATCAAACGTCAAGAAGTTTCCTCAAAACCGGTTCCCTTTTAAACTACACCACCAGGAAAAAGAAGATCCGAAAGGGTTAACACTTCCAGAAACATCAATACTGTAGAGTTTCTAAATAAACTTCCCTTGCTTCAATATCACACTTTTAAAAATCAAGAACGAACAGGAGCCATTGGGACAAAGAAAAAAAATCACTTTCAATATTTGAAGACAATTTTAATGACTTGAAAGAGTGGAAGAACATTCATGATGCTTTTTCGAACTCTTTTCAGCTGCTTTCCTCTTGGCTTACAAAACTTCCATCACTGTCTCACAACAGTGGAAGAATTATTTTTATCCCACAGAGGACTTGGAGATTTCTTCCTACTAGCTCTGTTCAGTTCTTGGGTAAATAAGAATAATTCCACTACCTCTTTAAAACTTTGTCGCTTGTATGCGTTATACGGGATGCTGGGGAATGTGTGGAAATGTGTGGCTAAGCTCAGATTCACAGCCTGAGGTTACAAGGCTCCACGCCAAGTTTTCACCTACATGGAATCATTCGGCAGGCTTAACCACTCTGCTTCTACCCCAAGGAAAACACTAACATGATTTAACTGCAGTTAAGAATTCCAGTAGGTACTTACTAAATGTGGCATAATCTTTTCCATGCGTAGAGAAAAGGAAATCATTTTGCTAATCTTTGCCTCCCTCAAAACAATCACGTTTCAGAGCTCAGTTCTCCATCAAAGCTGGAACAATTTAATAAACTTTAAATGCATTTGGTATAAAAGATGTAATTATGGGATCTATAACAAATTTGTGGATACAAGAGCTGTATTTAAAAAAAAAAAAGGTTTACATGGTTAAAATACATCCAAAACATTAAACGGTTTTCTTCGATAAAATCATTTTCACACTTTGCTCATAACTTCTCTTCGCATTATTCTTTTCATTATATAAGATAATTCCAGTGACATGATGTGGGTGAAGGGGAACACACTAGTCAGGGGGAGAGAAGGGAGAAATTCACAATGCAAATGATAGGAGAGTGAAACCTCCCAGAGAAGAGAACTACATGAAAGGGGAAAGCATCTGGAAGAGAAAGTATTTCTGGCCAAACCTGTGGGACCGCAGGCCATGTGGTTATACCCCTGTTTGTAGTTTCCCTGTGATCTCTTGCCAAGGGCAGATAATTTAGCAACGGTAAGAATAAAGGAATGATTTACCTTATAGCTGATGTGGCAGGAAAAACACTTTACAGTATTTTTTTGCAGGCAGTGGGATAGTAAAGACAACAGCCCAGGGTTTACAATAAACAGGTAGCATCACTCATCATGGAAAACTAGTTCAGAGAATTTCTAAGGAGCTAAGACCACAAATTTGAAATGCAGACAGTCCAAGCCCCAAACCAGGTTAGTGTCAAAATATGCTAACTTAAGAAATCCACAGGCAAATATTTCAGTTAAAAGGGCAAACTTAGTTGTTGCTGCTTCTACCAGGATGGCTTAGCACTTTGTGACTTTCAACTGGGTGCAGCAGAGGTCGAGAGACTGAGGCTGTGTGTTTCTTCCTAAGGGTCGGCTGGGGGTGGGGGGAACAGGTGGCTATGATCAATTTGATTGCCTCTTGGGGAGGATGGTGTAAACCATATTGCAAGCTAAAGAGTAAACCATACGAGTAATTTTAAGGAGGTGTTTAATGCCCAAGAGAGTTAGATGAGCTCTTTTACCAGTGAGAATGAGTTCAAATATAAAATGGCCCCAGTGATGAGAAATGTTCCAGAAATAGCTGGGGATTGACAAAACTGAAGTTTACTGTGAGACCTCCCAATCCCATAGAAACGTGTTCTGTAGTGCAGATAGACAGGAGAAAGGGCAAATGGAAAAGCCCTTACCGAAGCTGAGGAGTTGATTCTATTCTATAAGATGTTTCGCTAATTGGGATATGCGTATACTTGTTATGATCGATAAGGACAGGGCCAAGCTGCTAATATCGCTCCAACAGCCAACTCGTTCTCTCCTTCTTCCCTTCCAGTAGAACCCCATTTTTTTTTCAGGGTTGCAATGTGCTCACTCTCCAAGAACTAAAGAACCTACTGCACTTTCTAGCTTCCTTTAGTTAGGGGTGCTCACAGGCTATAGTTCAGGAAATGATGTAAGAACAAAAGGGACCGAACAGGCTTCAAAAACTCTTTAAGGGTTATTGAGGCAATGCGGGCATGTTCCTTTTGCCTTTTCCCTTCTTCCCCCCGAGAAGTGCACAGGTTGGCTTGGACTCAGATACCACCTTAGGAGCGTGAGGACAGGCGACATAGCCGGAAAATGGCCAAGGAGAAGCCCAAATTCTTGGTTTGTCATGAAGTTGCCGTGCTAGCCCTGAACTACCTGATTCCATTTTCCTTTGCAGGAGATAAAAATGACCCCCGATTTGTTTAAGTCATCGGGATTTTTGAGGCGGACAGGGTGAAGGGTGCGGGTC